ACATCTCAGCTTGATGGCATCAAAGAGGATGTCCGTTTGCTTGTTTGTTCGCTGTTTCCCACTTTAGGAAGAAAAAGAGTTCAACACTGTTAAACGTCAGGCTACTTCATCAGTCTCCTTTCAGTGGTCTGAGGTAGAACAGTTAGCATTTCCATTTTATAGCTGGGAAAACAGACCCAGAGAAATGGAGGAACTTGCCCAAGCCTCGCAGCCAGTAGGTGAAAGGGCCCCAACCTGAGGCCCTCCCACCTCATGCCCCAGCTCTCTCTTCTTTGCCACACCATCACTGGTGGTTCCCAGAATGGACTCAGAAGCTAGACAGCCTGGATTTAGATCCTCCTCTGTGCATTCTGACCCACGGGATCTTGGGAAAAGTTGTATTCCTGCTGTGCCTTCCTGACCTCTTCTGTCAAATGAAGACAGTTGGGCTTTCATGAGAATGAAGTGAAATGGCATGTCAGTGTGCTGGGGACAGAGCCCCACACAGTATGAAGCAGTGTCCCTGCTTCCCAGACCACTGATACCACCAGCAGCTCGTTCCTGAAATAATTTATAAGTATGCTTCTTATCTCTGTAGTAGTCCAACAGGATAGGTCTTATGGACCATCTATTTATTTATTTAATATTTTTGAGGAACAAACTGTAAAGTTTAAGAATTTAGTCCAAAAAAATAAATAGACCCTGTAGGCCCTGTACTAAGTGTATTTTTTAAAAAATTATTTATTATTATTATTATTATTTGGCAGAACTGGGGATTGAACTCAGACCCTTGCACTTGCCAGGGAAGCGCTTATTCTACTGAGCCATCTCCCCAGCCCCAAGAAAAAGAATTTAGTTCAGTGTCACAACTATATCATAAGTGAACTAACATTCAAACTCCAATCTTTCTGATTCCAAAGACAGTTTTTCCTCTTCACTGGGGTCCCTTTCTGTGCTCAGCCTAGGACATGTCTAATAGCATTAAGCCTTGAACTACTGCTTGTGAAATGCAGTGGCCAGTGTCTCAGAGAACTGAGAACCAGCCATTTCCCCTGACAGCTGGCTGCTAACTGGCAAGTTCTTCATCCCGTCTGCCTCAGCTCTAGAATGGAAAGGTTCTTCCTTCTCTCAAAAGACAGTCCATTAATAGTTTGAGGGCCATGGTGTCTTCCTGGAGTCATTAGTAGTTAAGGAGTGCTATATCAGCTCCTCTCAGTACTGAAGATTCTTTTCTGGTCACATTTGGTAAAGTGTTGACCAAAAGCTGCCTATAGTCTGCCACATGAGGTTCTGACGAGGCAAGGAGGTTGGTGGGACACCTAGAGAAGCAATGGTGGCCGCTTCTTCACACAAGAAGGAGTTTGGAACATGGTGGTACCAGGAACACAAAGTCCCCAAGGCTTGGGCCTCAGCCCTCATTCTTCAATGGCCAGTCTTATAGAATGTCCCATGAAAGCAGGATATTGTCTCATGAGGTGTTGCTGTATAAGACAGTAACTGGCACTCACTAGTCTCAGTAGTTTGTATTTTGTGTTGTGTTATTATTGTTTTAATAAGTTTTTGAGATAGGATCTTGCTGCTGCATGTAGTTCAGGCTGGACTCAGACTTACTATGTAGCACAAACTGGCTTCAAACTCATATGGATTGTCCTGCCTCACCTTCCCAAGTGCTAAAATCATAGGTGTGTATCCCCTTTCCCAGCTCAAAGCTAATTTTATGTTACACAAAAGGTTTCTAAGTTTGTTTTTGAAAATTGTTTTCTTAGCCTTATGAGAAATGTTATGCTTTGGTTTAATCTCACCAGGGTGAAAGTGGACCAGAAAGTCATGTCTTACCTCTCAGTGGATCAGTTTCATGTGGTCATGTGACTTTCAAGTTGCTTAATCAGTTAATTAATTTTTTTTTGTGATGCTGGGAATCAAACCCAGAGTCTCACATATCCAATGCTAATACTCTACTGTTGAGCTACACCGCAATCCTAAAAGTGTTTATTTCTATTTTTGAGATTGGAACATAACATGCAAGCTAAAAATAATCATTAATTAAGCATTTAGTAAGTGAGCTTCGAAGGCAGACACCGTTGTAGCATCTGTAATGTCACAGCAGCCCCACGGGGTGGGCAACTTTGAAGTAACAGAGGTGAGGCCCTTTTTGAGACTTCTCTGAGGAAGTTATTTTTCGAGAGCTGGGAGGGGAGGGAAGAGATGAGCTTTGGAAAGACCTGAGGGGTCCAAGCAGTGAGAGGTGTGGTATGGATGGCCCCTGTGGGAGGGACAGTGGAGACCCAGGAGACTGGAGTGGGTGGTGACTTCAGCAGGGACCTGCCCCAGTTTCTGTTGAAGAGGGCAGGAAGCAGGGGCCACATGGTTGCCTCCAGCTGCTGTGTGCAATGACTTTGTGACCCAAGAGTGGTCATGGAATAGTCTTAGAGGAAGTGTACTGTACATAACAACTTTCTGAGAGTGGCTGATTAATTCTTCAAAGTTGTTACTGTTATTCAGGCAGTTCTGACTTGTCTTAGTCGTTGAAGGCAGAAAAGAAGCCTGTCAGCCCCTCTCAATGGAAAGTAGTGTTTCCTCCTCTGGTGATGCGGCTGTCAGGTCTGCATGGTAATTAGGAATGGCACTGGTAATGAAGAATGAACTTCAGTGTTCTTGAATTTAGATCAGAGGAAGCCCGCCTGGTGGTACATACCTGTAGTCCCTGCCCTCAGGTGGCTGGGGCAGGAAGATTGCTACAAGTTTGAAGGCAGCCTGGACTACATAGTGAGTTCAAGATCAGCCAGGACTCCATAGTGAGACCGTATCTCAAAAATATCAAACAAAAACCAATCAAAAGGGGCCGGGGAGATGGCTCAGTAGGATAAGCGCTTGACTGGCAAACGCAAGGATCTGAGTTCAATCCCTGGTTCGGGGGGGGGGGGGATTAAAATTAGATGAAATGGGAGATGTAACACTTTCCCTAGTGTACTGCACATACTTTACATTTTCATATTAAAATGATATATTTTATATGCAGTTCTCAAATTTTGTAATAATTTAAATATGATTTGCATGTCATTACAGGTAAAGGGATAATTATTATTAATTCCATAAAGTTCCAGAAATGATTTTTTACTGTATTTAAGTTCAGACCTCTTAGAAATTATGTGTTCAATCTGTACTCTTCAAATATATATGATAAAACTTTGTGAAACTTGAAGCAATGCAGCCGTCTTAATCAGCTTTTGTGTTTAAAGGGGTTTCTATGTAGAAGTAAGTCACACATTTATTCAGAATGCTTGATAAATAAAGGATTCTTGCCCCCTCAATTTACAAAGAACTAAATATTAAACCAGGCCCAATGGCACCGAGCTGTAATCCCAGGGCTCTGGAAGGCAGAGTAGGGGGATGGCAGGTTTGAGCCCCGCCTGGCTGAGACCCTCCTCAGTGCACAGTGGGCTGGGAATGGTGCTCCCCGGCTTCAGTCTCCGGTACCAAAAGAACTTGACTCATGTCGCTGACCACGTTTTCACGCAGAGACTTCTTAAGATGTGGTTGGGGCTGTACACTCCACGTTCTTCATTCCAGTCTTCGTCTGTGTTCTTCTCCAGGAGGCTTTCAGAAAGGCTTTGTTGGATAATAAAGTTTCTAAGACATGCTATCTGCCATGTAAAAACAACTCTCAGAAAATAATTGAACTCTTCTAGATTTGTTCAGAAGCTATTTCTAGGAGTTGGATAATGGACTAAACTTGTGTTTTAAAGATATCTCCATTTTAAAATTTTCTTTTTATGGATTACTGAATGAAATTGGTTAAATGGTCTGAGTCCTTACAATCTAGATGAACAGAAGTGAAGCAGAGGCCCTTCCTAGCTAGAGTATTTTACTTTCATATGAGTTAACAGTGCAGTTTCCCATCAGTCAGGTCCCTCGCTGTTTATGGGTCAGGTTTCCATAACTCTTAGTAACAGCATGGTGAGTGAGCTCTAGTAACTAGAAGTTTTCATAGCTGATGACTTCACTAGGGCTTGTCCAGACAGCAGTTACCCTCAAAAGTGGCTTGTTAGGCCTGGAAGAGATCTGAGAGACACTGTAACTTAGCTGGCCCGTCCGTTCTGTTTGCCATTGTGGCCATGGTTCTGCAGCCTGAGGGAAGTCGAGACCAAAGACTGCGGCTTGGAAAGTAGAAAACTGATAGGTCTAGGTCTGGAAAAGGGCCCAGCCTTGGTGCTCGGTGCAAGTATCAACACGCACAAGTGTTATTCTCTGGAAACAGCAGCAAATTTAAAAGGCCTCTGATGCCCCATCATGTTTTTCAAAATGGGCGAGGCTCCTAGGCTGACACCCAGAGAAAGTAATTATAGTCAATAAATTTATAACCTTTTGAATTGACCCTCTTTGGCAAAGACCTGCTGTGCTAGCTTTAAAAATAATGCTTGCAGTGTGTTTTTTGCTAATAAAGTCCATATGCTATCATTTAGTCAGCAGTATATCAAGTAGAAAACTGGATTAACTTCTTTTAAGAAAACTTTTTAATGATTTCACTGTGCTGGTTATTATCAGAAACCTCCAGAAGTAGATCAGTGTAGACCCTCAGCTCCGTAACCCACTGCTTCTCTGGCTTGGAGCTGACAGGGACCAGAATGTACCTGCTAGTCTAGTTCCAGTTGCTCCACGTAAGTTAGGTTAGGTCTGAGGATCTGCCCCAGAGATGGGCTTGTCTCTGAGAATGTGGCTGAGGCCCTTTTGTGATCTGAGTGCTTAAACAGTTGCCTGGGTGCACTGACGGTCTTGAAGTAAGTACCCCGAGGCAGGTGTCAGCTGAGCTTCCCATTAGCTTGCGCATGAAGGAAAGTGACCTATTGCTAAGACTTTCTTCAAAAGGAGAATGCTAATAATTTCCTGATGTTTTCGACTTACTGGAAATGAGTATAAAGTGTCAGGTATGCGGGGAGCAGTGTGCGGTTTCTGGTGACATATACTCTGCCCCCATCCTGTGACGGTGACTCACCCTTCCCATTCCTCTGTCTTCCTCCTAGGAAGCCGCCCTCTGCAGGCAGCTCCCGATGGAAGCCGAGACAATGGCCACTGTTCAGGCTGCTGTCAACCCGCCCGCCATGACCACAGACATGAGATCCATCACCAATAATAGCTCAGATCCTTTCCTCAATGGGTAAGTTGATGTTTGGTGCCGTTTATTATTGTGGTCTTCCCTGATGTGGTCTAGGCTAGAGGGGTTCTTTCTTTACATTGGGAAAAGGTGAAAAGTTGGAAGGTTGAGGACGTGAGTAGAGGGAAGAAGTAGGGGGAACTGTCATGGAAAAGGAGAGCAGAGGAAGTCATTTACTTTTATAAAATCCTCAGATTCAAAAATTAGTGATAGGACATGCAGTAAAGCCGAGTCAATAAATTTGAATATGGGATGAACTTCTAGTTTAAGCAGGATGGCATTGTCTAGTAATTATACTTGGAAGAATCTGTGGTTTTATTTAATCTGTAACAGGATAAAAGCATGCCCATTGCAAATTGAGAACAAAATAATTCAGAGATGATGTTTGCAGTGAAATGTGAATGACATCTGTCGTTTAGGTGGTAGTATACTATGGTGCCAACTTCTGAGTTTAGGTAATTGTGCTGTGATTCTGTAAGATATTAATTACCTGGAGGGTGCTGGATGCAGGGCACACACCCCCTTCTGCATAGGAAGTCTAAATTATTTCACAATTTAAAAATTAATGAGGGCTAGCAAGATACTTCAGCAGTTAAACACCTGCTTAGGCAGGCACAGGGACCGGACTTTATTCCCCTATACCACATTCCATGCCGGCCCCACACCTGGGTGTGCTGGGCTGGCCATGCGATCAGGTGTGGCAGAGCACACCTGTAATCCCAGCGCTGGGAGGATCACTAGGAATCTGAGCTGGGTAGTGAGACCCTGTACCAAATAAATAGATTTAAAAAAAAATAAGTTCAAAAACTGAGAATAAAGAGATATTTCTGAAAAGACAGAACACAACAGCAGAAGGAAAAACTAATTTAACCACAAGTATCTGCACAAATAGAAGCAGTCAACCCTAAATATAGCCTTTTCAGTCCCTGCAACATGAAACAATCCCTTTCCTGTGTTTTTCTACCCTTGAAGAGACTTCTGAAAAACCAAGTACAATTAAAGGTAGAGCAATGAAAATAAATAGCAACCAAAATAATGATAAAATAGGTTTTTCAGGTGCTGACTTTATTTCTTCATTTATTTTTTTGTCTTTTTGAGCCAGGGTTGCTCACTGTGCAGTGTAGGCTGGTCTTGAACTCACTTTGTAGCCCAGGCTGGCCTCAAGACTATAGCAATCCTGGTTCAGCCTCCTGAGTGCTGGGATTATAGGTGTGCACCACCATGCCTGGCAGTTGATGTTTTTGTGTAGGAGTCATTTCCAGGTCCTTGTCTCAGTCCAAAAAGCCAATATTTGTAATCCCAAAGTTACGTTACTGGAATCCCATCAAGTTAATTCCAATCTACCACTCCCAGTGCAACCCACGGCGAAAGTAAAGACACTAAAACATATTTATAATTAATGGGGAGTCAAGGGGCCCTAAGTCCAGCCACAAAGATGACTTTCCAGAACCAAGAGGCTGACCCAGGGCCTCACCCAGTTTTATTCAGTGGAGGAATGGCTTGAGGAGAAATGACTGAGAATTGTGGGAAGTAGGTAACTACTATGAGCTGAGCTAGGTGGATGGCCTACATTTACCTCTGCCATATGCAGAGAGGATATGCAGAGAAAGTAATCTGCTTTATGCTATTGAGATAGTATCTAATGTTGAGGGGTCTGGTGCTTCAGCTTTGATGTAGTCTTTCAAGCCCCAGGAAGTCATAGCCTCTATCTTGAGGCTCGATCCCAGCTTGGCTCTTTGTCCTGTCTCAACCCAGTTCACATTAAAGAGCAGCAGGTGTAGGTTACCAGGGAAACACGCATGCCACCTTCAAAGACTATCACCAGCACCTCAGCTAGACCAATAGACATTGCTTAAGGCCAACTGAAGGATAAACAGAAGTCCTAGTCAGCTCTGTACTGAACAATATGAGGAAATAGGGTCAGGCTCAGTCGAAATGGAGACAGTCCCTCTTCTTTCAAGGAGAGCTGCTCAGGTGGTCCTCACATTTTTGTACTGAGGATTGAACTCTGGACCTTACACTTGCCAGGCAGGTGCTTATGCCACTGAGCTATTTCTCTCCAGCCCTGTCAGTTGACTTTAAAGTACAGGAAAATATGAAAAATAATGTAGGAATTGTTCATGTACCTATTCCCCAGATTTGCTGTATTTCTATCTGGTCTTACTTTTTTTTTTTTTTTTTGAGACAGGGTCTCACTATGTAGTGTAGGCTGGTCTTGAACTTGCTTGTGTAGCCCAGGCTGACCTCAAACTCATGATGATCCGCCTGCCTCAGCCTTCTGAGTGCTGGGATTACAGGCATGCACCACCATAGCCAGCACTTTCTTAATAAATAAAATATTACAGTTAATATGAAACCCATTCCACCACCGCCACTAAAAGCCGAGTTTCTGTTTCTTCCTCACTCCTCATGGTAGCCACTGTGCAGCAACTGATGTGTGCCTCATGTACTTGTATTTCTTACTGCCATTAGAGTTGGTACCTGTACATAGTATTCAACTTAGTTTTGCTTTTATTTTTTAATTTCGTATAAATAGCATCACGCTCAAATGTGCCCATGGAAATGCAGAGGAAATCAGTGACGATGTACTATGAACAGTCAGTGTTGTTTACCTATAATTTATCGATTTCATTGATATTAGCACGTAGTTTTCAAAGTTGAAGGGGGTTGCAGACTTCTCCCCTTTGCTCCCTGGGATCGGAGCAGGGTGGACTCGGCTGGTCCAAGTTGCTGTGGCCGTTCTCACTGCGGCCTGTACTCGGTGGCCTCTCCCAGCTTTCTCCATCTTCTGCTCTTCAGGGGGCCCTACCACTCGCGGGAGCAGAGCACAGACAGCGGCCTGGGCTTGGGCTGCTACAGCGTCCCCACGACTCCTGAGGACTTCCTTGGCAATGTGGATGAGATGGATACAGGTAGGAGCACAGCCTGTGAGTGCGCGTATGTGCTTTTAGTTTTAAATTGTCCTTTAGGTCATCTCCATTCTAAAATCCAACCAGACACCCTGGGTCTCAGCAACACAAAATGACAACTAAAAAGCCACCCGGTCCACAGGCACTGGAAATAAACCCTTGCCCCCTTTCCAGAGTTAATACAGAAGTAGTTTTGTATATACAAGGGCATAGGATTTTAACTTCTTTTTTTTTTTTTTTTTTTAATTTATTTGGTATAGGGTCTTGGTATACAGTTTGAACTCACAGTGAACCTCTTGCTGTTTTAACTTTTTTTTTTTTTTTTTTTAATTTATTTGGTATAGGGTCTTGGTATACAGTTTGAACTCACAGTGAACCTCTTGCTGTTTTAACCTCCCCAGCGCCGGGATTACCAGTGTGTGTTACCACACCCAGTTTCAGTGGTCCGCTCAGCATGGGGCCAGGGCACATTGTGTGGTACTGGGCATCGAACCTGGGGCATTGCGCTTGCCAGGCAGGCACTTAGACAGCTGAGCTGTTCATCCTTCCTTCACTTGACCTCTTCCTTGCAGTTGTAGTGGAGGAGTCTGTCTGCTCTGCGCATCTTTGCAGCGGGCTCTTTGGGCTGCTGTTTTAGCTGCAGTATGTGGGCCTCTTTTCTCCAGGGAAAAAGGTACTGTTTATAACTTATCCAGCAGGCAGGCGTTTTCATGTCTTTCGATGCACTTGGGAAGCAATGGGCAGTGAACATTTAGAAAGTTGAACCAGTCAGGGGTTGCTAGGAGATCAGCTGCAGGGTCCTGCACGGCAGCGATGTCCCCCTCCGCACTTCTGAAGAAGGGCCAGGACTGCTCCTGTTCTCCTGAGCTTCCTGCAGGCCAAGGCTCAGCAGACTTCCTGTCTGTCCTGCTTTTTTGTCTTCAAGGAGTGAGGCGCCCAGTTACAAAGTCTGGATTTACCTAGCTTCACTTAGCTTAATTAGGGAAGAAGCAGAGCACAGCAGGGCTCCCTGTTGCTCTGAGAAGGCCCCTGAGGTGTGCAAAGTGGACTGCCTAAGTGGTGGGGTTCTGGGTTGGCCTGGTTAAGTGAGGACGACTCATTGAGTTTAGGGTTTAGGGTTAACCTCTGTGAAGACTTTTCAGGAAGCAGGCACAAACCCTTCCAAGGAGAGGAACGGAATTATCCACCAGTACCCAAGGAGGTGTGGGAGCGAGGCAGAACTCAAGTGCAGCCAGAAAAGAGGAGTTAGGCTGCTGAGCCCTGTGAAGACAGCCGCCGCGCACGCCCTCTGCAGTCCGCACGCAGGAATAGCAGCGGGGTTTTGTGCAAGGGTGAGGTGCAGGGGCAGCCAGCACATTCTGCAGCAGTCATAAGCCTGCAAGAATTGCTGGTGGTTTTGTCTTGTTTTGTTTGTGTCTCATCTATTTATCTGTGCATTTATTCGTTTGTTTTGTTTGGGTCTCTCACTTATGTGAGAGAGGCATTGACCTCGCTGTCTAGCCAGACTGTCCTTGGTTTTGCAGCAGTCCCCCTGTCTCAGCCTCCCAAGAGCTGGGATTGTGAGCATGTGCCACCATGCCAGCTGTCATCTACTTTTTTAAGTGGCTGAAACTACAAAGAAGGGCCAGCAAGATAGCTCAGTGGACTAAAGGCCTGCTTTGGCAAGCACAGGGACCAGGGTTCTATCGCCAGCACCCCCCGCGGGGTGCACTGAGCTGGTGAATGAGTCCGGGCATGGTGGTGCACGCCTGTAATCTCAGTGCTGGGGAGGCTGAAAACAGGAGGATCACTAGAGTCCAAGCTGCTCAGTGAGACCCCGCACCAAACACACACACACACACACACACACACACACACACACACACCCCAAAAACTGCAAAGACCTAAAAGATTACTATAGGATTATGGAGTTACTACAAAGAGATATTTAAAGATTTTTAAACCGTGAGGGATCTTAAGTTATACCCATACCTTCTGTGTTTGGGGAGAAAGGGTAAGAGACATTCTTCAGATAGCAATTTTGTTTAGCTAAAATAGGTATTTTTCAGTAGTAAAAGTTAAAATGATAATTTCAAGTAGAGATGAAAGAAAAAGTCCAGGCCTTTGGAGGTTGTTTTGTTTTGTTTTGTTTTGTTTTTTTAGACAATTAAATTTTATTTTAGATATTTGGTACAGGGTCTCACTACAAAGATCAGATTCTTAGTGCTCCTCCTGTTTTCAGCCTCCCAAGCGCTGGGATTACAGGCAGGCACCTCCACGCCCAGTCTCAATCACTGTCTCAGCGCACTCTGGGGGCAGGGCTGGCACAGCACACGGAGATCAAACCTAGCTGCTGCAGTCTGCCTAAGCAGGACAATAAAATTTTAAAACCTCTTTTTTATCTGTTGCAGTACAATGAGTATAGGACAGTTATTTTAGATTTTCTTTCCTATTTTACTTTTTTCCATGATCTGTAACACTGCATTGAGGCTATGGAATTGAATTTGATTTCATTTTTCAAATTCCTGTACTTTGAAAATCCTGTAAAATGTTGCCGAAGAGTCATCAATATATTGTGACTTTCAGGAAAACCATTATTTTTTGCCATTCCAGAATGAAGTCTCTTTTCCTCAGTGCTTGAATAAAATGAATTTTCTGCAATTCTTCTGAAAACAGTGAAACTTATGGGCATGGTTCTCAGGAGGGCAAATACATGTGTAAGACCCAAAAATTAATACAAAAACATTTTAAGTGTTGCTTTTGTGACAGCTAGCTTCAGTTGTCAGTGCATCTCAGTCTTTGAGAAAGGTTTTATTCCTTCAGAGAATTGTATATTTTGGGCTGTTTGCCTTAACTTGTTCCAATTAAGTAATTCATAGTAGTTGGGTTCTTGGGTTTTGTTTCACTTAGCACAATCAAAAAATATCTATTTGTGTATAATTTTATATGTATGGCACCTACGGCCTTGTGTGTGGGGCAGGTTCTGTGTAGCCTTTTATTTCAGCTTATAAAGATGATCCCAGTACCTAGACAGATAACTGAGAACCAGAAAAAGCAGGCGCATCTAAGGTTACACAGTTGAAAAGATCAATCTTATGATACAATATCTTTCTGCATTTCTTCATCACCAGTACATGAAAAGAATACATATTCTTTATGTCATTTTTCCCGACTCTTTTTCTTTATTTTTTCGGAACCGGGGATTGAA